CCCAATTTATAAATTATTTTGTTGAAATAGTTATTCTAAATTATAATTCATTTTATATTTGCAATGCAATATTAAAGATATTTTTTTAATATATCATCTATTATTTATTATTATTGTTATTTTTTTCATATCTTTAAATTTATCTTTTATCTATAATAAATAAAAGACAGTATTGTAAAATCATGCATAACTTTTCTTTCCTATACAATATTGATTATGTTTTTAATTCACATAATATATATATATATATATATATATATATATATATATATATATATATATATATATATATATATATATATATATATATATATATATATATATATATATATATATATATATATATATATATATATATATATATATATATATATATATATATATATATATATATATATATATATATATATATATATATATATATATAATATCTTATAATTTCGAACGAAGGGAGTATAATTTTTTTTTAATTTGGCTTCAATGAGCCTGCTAAGTTATCAATACATCTTTTATTTAATTATTTTATAGGTTGATTAGTAAATAAGTACATTTACATCTACGGGTGTACATGGATAGGGTCAACCAACAAAAATCGGTCAAACCCACCCAAAAAAAATCTAAAACAGTGGATTGGGGAAATTTTACCCTATACCCCTGCATTTATACCCATACCCCCTACATTTTTTTTTAAAATACCCATTTTATCCTTATACATTTTAATATTTTATTATTTTTGTTTCACTTTTTAGATTTTTTAGACTTCCGAGAAATTCATCCCACAATCTATCAGAACACTTTGAAAATGACTTCTGGTAGGCTTTTTTCTCAAACCGAAAGACTTGGGCAAAGAGTTCCGGTTCACAAAAATAATGTACCGGAAGACTTTATGAAAGACTTCCGGTTTGGTAATTTTCGTGGGTGTTCACTGGAAGAGTTGTAGCAAGAGTTCCGGTAGCCAAAAAAACAAACCGGAAGACTTTTTACAAGTCTTCCGGTTTGTTTTTTTGACTACCGAAACTCTTGCTACAACTCTCCCGGTTTGAATTGTCCAATTTTATCTTAATTTTTTTTTGAATTTTTTTTGGATTTTTTTTGGATTTTTTTTTGAATTTTTTTATGTAGTTTCAGAAATTCCTTTACAAATATGCGATAAAGATCAGATATGCGTAGATACGTCTGATGTTTTTTCAACAACTCAAAGATTTGGTACACGAGAAGAGATAATAAGATGGATTAAAGAGATTGGAATCCGAAATAAAGTTACGGTTATCATCACTCGCTCAGATATTAAAACAGGCAAGAGAGGAAGAAGTAACAAATTAATATTTGGATGTGATAAAGGAGGAAAACACAGAGATATTGATAGTGGAACCCAGAGTGCGACGAAAAAATGTGGATGTCTATTTAGAATCAGATCAATTCCAACGACTGATGGATCTGGATGGAAGATTGATATAAAATGTGGAGTTCATAACCATGATTTACCTGATAGATTAGAAGGTCACGCATTTGTCGCTAGGTTGACAGCGGATCAGAAGCAACATGTTGTTGATTTGACAAAGAGAAAGGTTCCACCTAGACATATATTGCTTTCATTACAAGAGCAAGATCCAGATAATGTCACTCGGATCATGCAAATATACAAACAAAAGAGTATGATAGAAAAAAATATAAGAGGTCCTAGAAGTGAGATACAACATTTGTTTAAGCTTATTGAGGCAGCAGGTTATGTTTATTGGAGTAGAAAAAGAGATGACTCTGAAGTTATTAGAGATATCTTTTGGGCTCATCCAGATTTAGTTAAGTTGTTGAATATTTTTCCTGTTGTGCTAGTTATGGACAGCACTTACAAGACAAACAAATATAGGCAACCTCTGTTTGAAATTGTTGGCATGACATCAACCGAGTTGACTTTTGCGGTCGCATTTGCCTATATTGAGTCTGAGCAAACTGAGACTTTTTGTTGGGTGCTAGATAAACTTAAACAATTGTTTGTGAAGAAAGAGTTGTGTCCACAAGTGATTTTGACAGATAGAGATCTTGCTTTGATGAAAGCCATTGAAATTGTGTTTCCAAGGTCGATCAATATGCTATGTCGATTTCATATTAACAAGAATGTTGGTGCAAAATGAAAACAATATGTGGCTAGTGACATGCAAAAGAAAATTGACGAATTATGGACGGATGTTGATGGGCTAGTGATGAGGTTGAGTATGATCAAAGGTTGAACCAACTTGAGCAGGCGTGTGTTAATTGTAATGAATTTATTGATTATATGAAGGACACATGGTTGACACCACATAGACAAAGATTTGTTGGAGCATGGATTAATCGAGTGCTACATTTGGGTAACACCACGACTAATAGGGTTGAGTCTGCTCATTGGAAGTTAAAGCAAATGTTGGGGAACAGTATTGGTGACATGGTCAAATGTTGGGAGGCTATGAATGACAACTTAAAGTTACAATTGGGTAATTTTAGAGCTTCTTTTCAAAAGAGTTTTTATGAAGTTGAGCACGCCCACGTAAGTCCATTTTACAATAACTTACGTGGTTCAGTGTCTCGAGATGCATTGAGACGTATTGCTGAAGAGTTAAAACGAGTTGATTATGTTGGAACTAACAAGGAAATATGTCGTTTTACTCTTAGAACAACCTACAGATTACCTTGTGCTTGTGAGTTGACAGGATATAGAATTGATGGTATACTGATGCCAATAGATGCTGTACATGTTCATTGGAGAAAACTAAGTATGGAAGTTAAGTTGAATGAAGACGTAGATGATGGATCAGAGGTGGATATGAGTAGTGCAATGGATGAGTTATGGAAAAGGTTTAAGTCACTGGATGTTGTTGGGAAAAGGACATTAAAAAGTAGGGTTTTTGAACTTGCCTTCCCTACAATGACTTCTATGTGTCCACCACCTGAGAAAATAAAAACTAAAGGGGGGTCAAGAATAAAGACAAAAAACCAGTAGGATATGATGTTTATAGAGACCCTTCGTATCACGAGTATGTTGATCAAGCATCTCAATCTTCACAGATGCAATCTCAACCATCACAAACTTCGAAGAAGTTGAAATTATCACAGTATTCACAAAAGAAATCTCAACCGTCACAAGCTTCGAAGAATTTGAAATTATCACAATCTTCACAGTCATCTAAGCAGTTCATCCTTCAGTTTCCTAATCACATTCGGTCATATATTGATGATGTAGTTAATGTTGTATCATATGGTAATTGTGGATTAAGAGTCATTGTTTCATTGCATGGATTTGGTGAAGATGGTTCGCCAATGGTTTATCGAGACTTGGGGTTGGAAATAATACATAATAAAAGATCAAGTTTGTATGCCAATTTATTTACTGATCAGTTAGCAGTGGTGAGAGAATCTTTGATGATAGAGGAAGTCGGTCCTCAACCACCACATAAATGGTTAACTCTACCAGATATGGGTTACGTGATAGCGAATCGTTATAATGTTGTACTTGTCTGTTTAGGAATTGAATGCTGGACTTTCTTCCCTATGACAACTTCATTTTCACCGAATGTAGCAATTTACTGCATTGGTTTTGTAAACAGAAATCATTGGGTTCAGGTACTTAGTTGTTTTTAGATAATGCGATTAACCCTAAGTCTTTTTCGTTATTTTTACTTACTATTTTGATTATTTTTTTATTTAGGTAAACATGAAAGAAGGGTTTCCATTGCCACCGGTGACAGTAGATTGGAAGAATTTTCGTTCTCCAGCAGCAACATCTTGGATGCTAGGATTTGCACGATGTCTACAACATTGGCAACAACTTACGCCTATATTACCAACGCATTATACATTATAAATTATGTTACTCATTTTTTATTTCAAAACATGAATAATGAATTATGTTACTCGTTTTTAATTTCAAAACATGAATCGTGAATTAAGTTATTCATTTTTTATTTCAGGCTACAAGTTAACACTTAAACATAAATCAACTAGATCAAATGAGTCTAAGTTAACACATAAACATAAAACAATTAGGTCAAATGAGTCTAAAAGTTAACATATAATCATAAATATAAATATAAGTCATTGTGATCGAGCAATATGTAAAGCTTTGAACAAATCCGCAAACTATGGATCATCATCTTCAGCATCAGCCTGCTGAAGATAACGATGAATCAACGAAGACACATGAGCCCAGCTAGGATCAGATGGTCTTGCTTCATATACAGGAACTGGAATCTCTGCTGGCGCATCATGATAGGGTGGCAGTACCAGACGAGGATGAGAGACACGATAATACCACTAAAGATATCCATCATCTGTCTCATATGGGGTGGTGGTCGGTGTTGTCGGACGAATCACATTCTGAACGCTCTGATGGTAACTAATCCAGTCAACATCAATATCACCAGCCATCGTATGATCAAGAGGTGGATGTGGAACATACTGCCTGAATCCAAACTGACGCATACATCTGTCAGGCAAGTATGGAACAATAGTGTCACCCCACCTCAGACACCCCCTATATAGACATACCTCATCGAACTAACGCCATACTCTATGATTCTCGAATGGGCGCCATATGACATCAGCAGGTGTCAGCTCGTCCAGAATAGGTCGCAACTCATCCACCTTCAAGGCACCTTACCTATATGACCATCTCATCGCTCGAGGGAGACCCACATTATTAGCTGGTATCCAGTTCTCTCCTTTTTTTCCAAGTGTTGGAAAATACTCATGAATCCAGCACTGTTAAAAAATTAATATGGTTATTAAATTTAAAATAATTAATTATAACATAATAAACTAGACAAATAAAATTAATACACTAGATAAAATTTATTAAAACAAAATATACTAATTAAAATAAATACCTATAGGAGAGTCGGATAACCACCAAGCTGCTTACAGCTGAACAGGGAAGCATCTCCGAGACATCTGTAAAGAGTAACCAACACAGCTGCTCCCCAACTGTATCCTGATAAGCCATCCAAGTCTATAAACAGTAAGAGGTATCATGCCTCGACAAGCGTAAACGTCTTGTCCGCGAAAATAGTGGAACCCACTAACGTCAGCAAATAAGCTCTAGTGGCATAATGCCATCTAGATGCAGCTATATGCTCTACGAACCGATCATATAACCACTCCAGCTTATAGTAGGAACCCCTGCATTCACGAACTTGTTGTTGTGCTATTCTCTGTGACACTCCTAAGTAATCAACAACCCACTCAACAACAAGCGCTTCACTGATATCTTCAGGGCTCCAAAAGACTCCCCTGATGGGCAAGTGAAGCAAGCAAGATACGTCATCTAGAGTAATCGGCATCTCACCAAACGACATGTGAAATGAAGATGTCTCTAGATGCCACCTCTCTGCAAAAGTGGAAACTAGGTTTGTGTCTATCTTTGTTAAATTGGTTCTCTAAAGTGAAGCTAGACCAGACCTAGATATCCAGCTTTCCATCTCTCTAGGTAGCTGTAGTGAAACCCTCTGAGTCAACTTCAACCCATGTCCCGTCACCTTTAACTCTTTCTTCGACCCTCTCTCCTGAAAAAAATTAAAAGTAAATATATTATAAAATTCAATATTAAAAATTTGAATTATATTCAATATTAAATAATTTTTGTTTACTTACCTCACCGAACCATATACGGTATGCAACATGTTGTTCGTACTTAACTAACAGAGATGTATCATACGGTCCTCCTAGATATTCAACCGACTCGGATGCTGATGTAAATGCATCAAAATGCTCTTCTTTAGCCATTCTCGATGACTCGCCCCGTCCTAGACCACGAGGGATCCTACCATTTCTGCCTCGTGTGCGCACCACTGGAAAAAAATAATTAAAAATTAAAAAAATAAATAAATAAATATAATTAAAAATTAAAAAAAACAATGAACCGGAAGTCTTCAGGAAAGAGTTTCGGAGAAGAAACGCAAATTGCGTGTACCGGAAGACTTACTGCAAGACATCCGGTGAATAAACTCAAAATTTTGTGAACCGGAAGACATGCATTAAGTCTTCCGGTGAAGAAACAAAAACAAAATAAAAACCGGAAGACTTACTCTTAGAGTCCGTTATGTATTGAAAAACAAATGCGTTTCGGAAGACTTGGTGGAAGAGTTCCAGTTTGTAAATGGATGAAGAGCTCTCCGAAAGACTTGAAATGGAAATAAGTGGAAATGAAGTGAAAGTAAATTTTTTTTAAAATTATAGATATTTAAACAAGGGTATTTTGCTCCAATATTATTGAGTGTAGGGGTGTGGGTATAAGGGTAGGGGTATGAGGTAAAATCTTTGTGGATTGGATCGGACAATTGGGTGGATATGAGTTTAAAAATTAAAAAACCTATTAAAAAATTTGGGTTTCAAATAAAACCATATTCAAACTCAAAAAATCCACTAATCCACCAATCAAACATTTATTATTATAATTTTAATTATTTTGATGAATATTAACTCAGTTGTTGCAATTTTAGTCTCTTAACATTTACTATTTTAATAAACCATGACTTTAACTAATTATGAATGTTTCACTCTTTGTTTACTTTGATGTTAATACAATTTTATCTCGTGTAACTTAAGTTTATTGTTAATATTTTATGATAATTTTTAGGCAAAATACTCTTTTTGGTCCCTTAACTATATTCGTAAGTTCAAGTTGGTCCCTTAATTATTTTTCGTGTCAGATTGGTCTCTTAAATTTTTAAAATGTGTCATGTTAGTCCTTTTCGTCAAATTAGCGACGGAAAAATTCAAAAATCGATCGTTAAATTTGTCGCTAATTAGACAAAAAGGACCAACATGATAGGTTTTAAAGAATTAAAGGATCAATTTGACACAAAAAATAATTAAGGGACCAATCTGAACCCAAGGGTATAGTAAAGAGACCAAAAAGAGTATTTTGCCTAATTTTTATTACTTTATTATTTTATGATGCTAAAAGATAGTAAAAATAGGTTATCTAATTTTTTTAAGATAAAAATATTGAGTAATTTTTATAAAAGAAATATGATAACTTATCATTTAGTTATTTAATATTAATAAAATAGAAAAATTATTTGGGCAACCAACAACCCAACCCAACCCTAAAATTAGTGGATCTGTCCAAACCGACTCATTGATACAACGAACGGTTATTTGAGAATTGCTTATTACACCCTATATGCTTCTAGTGCACCGTGTGGATTTTCAATTATACCTCCCGCTTTCGGAGATATATCTCCAGACGCACCCTTTGCAGACATAACAAAGGTCATTTTGAGTGGCGCCTCATACATTTGGTCTAGTTTTATTCTGGAGATTTATCTCCGGAACAATTTGATGAAACCATTTAAATTGTTCAGTTCAGAGGATATTCCAGAGTTATATCCCGGAACAGTTTTAGGATAACATTTAAATTGTTCAGTTCAGTGGATATTTCGGAGATGCATCTTTGGAATTGTGGGGGACAATTTGAATTTTTCTGTTACCTTTATATGTCAGGTATTTCTGAAGAAGTATCTCAGAAAATATTTGATATAGCTTCCAGATGCATGATCAATCCCCCATTGTTGTTGATATTTGTAAATATATATTGTTAAGAATATTTGTATATAGAATAGTCCCACATCGACTATATCATATAATTAGTTGTAATTTATTTATATATAATAATATCTCTGTAGTGCTTTTCAAAACACACGGTTTGTTCATATGTCTCTTAGTCTCTTGTATTTTAACATGGTATCTAGAACCTACTAAGAGGCAATTCTTTCTTCACCGTACTTTACCCGGTTAACCTACTGTCTTCCGGTGAGAAACTTTTTTTTGGAAAATCGTGTTGTCACTTCAGTTTGTCTTTCACTTTTCAAAATTATCCGGTAACCTCCTTGTCGTCGTTACTGTTTCGACAAAACTTTCGACGGTGTTTCGAAAAACCGACCCCACCATCCAACTCGACGTCCTCTGATCCGATCGTCACCTTTTTCCCGTCGTTGCCCCAGCGCGTTCGTCGACTGATTCCGGCCGTTTTTCTGTCGGTCTACTCGCTTCTCCTCACCCATTCCAGATCCGGCCTCTATTTTACTTTCTGACTCACGGAAAATGGTGCTCCAGTGCAAGCAGCCTCGATTTCACTCCATTTTGTGTCATTAAGCCATGGGAGACGCTGATTTTGTCTCGTTTACTAAAGTTCTGGTTATCCCATGTGAAAAAATAACTGGATCAACAAACTATAACATATGGGCTCGTGCTGTCAATATGTTGTTTCATGGTCAGGAATATGAAGATCACCTAACCATATATTTGACTAATGTTGTTGCCGCCAAACTCGCTAAATGGAAGAAAACTGATGCCTCTCTACTTACTGTGTTATGGTTCTCCATAGCACCTAACCTCCAAGCGCAGTATCAAGCCTTCTTCACTTGCTATGAGGTTTGGAAAAGGCCAAGAAAGTCTTCTCCAACGATGTTCATTGTCTATACAGTGTCATCCTCAAACTCGACACACTAAAGATGGAAAATATGGATATGCAAACCTATCTGAGTAAGCTTTATGCCTTGAAAGCAAGTTACGCAACCCTTATACCGTACGCAAAAGATGCAACAGCTCATGCCTAATAACAAAGTAAAATTTTCATGGTTATGGCACTTAAAGGACTACCATCCGAACTCGACTCCGTTCGTAACCATATTTTATCAGGTACTACTATTCCTAACTATGATGCAGTTAGTGAACAACTGTTGCGCTTGGCTACACCTCATGCGTTTGGTTCAGTTTCCCCTTCATCTAATGTTGCTCCAACACCATGTGACACTACTACCTTCGCATCTCTTGGCAACAATCAGAATCGCCCTCGAGGAGGGTTATCCAACTCCAAACCTCGTTCCAATTGTGACCATTGTAACCGGCTTGGACATACTATCGACTGTTGTTGGAAGCTACATGGCAAACACTCACGTCAAATAAATGCAGCTCAAAGTGATAACCTAGACACTATGCAGACTTCACCTTCTACTCAGAACCCTACGCCAGGCTACAAGGATTTTCTCAGGTGGTGTCAGACTAATTAGATCTCTGGTTCCAATGCTTCGGTTGTACACACTGGTAATTCATCTATTTTCTTCTCTTGATCATCTCCTCTTGGTCCTCTTGGTCCTCTGGTCCTCGATTCTGGTAATAAAGTTCTTTTTTCTTCCCTCTCTACCTTTGGTTTCTTACCCATTATAATTTTCGCAAATGGTTCTCAAACCCGATCCCAAGGGATTGGTACTGTTCAAATTTTACCATCTCTCTCTATTACTTCTGTCCTTTATGTACCTAATTGCCCATTTACTTTACTTTAAGTTAGCCATTTAACGTGTTCCCTTAATTGTTTTATCACCTTTACTAATAGTAATGTTACTCTGTAGGATCGGAGTTCGGGACAGACGATTGGCGTCGAATGTGAGTCTCAAGGCCTCTACTACTTCTCTACGTCATCTACCACATGCTCCACCATAAATTCTCAACTCATTATACATGCGCAGTTAGGTCATCCAGGTCTTCCTAAGCTATAAAAGTTGGTTCCCAATTTATCTAAATTATCCAATTTACATTGTGAGTCTTGTCAGTTAAGGAAACATACTCGTAGTCACTTTTTCGGTCGAGTCAATAAATGGGTTGCATCCCCTTTTGCTTTAGTTCACTTCGATGTTTGGGGTCTCTCACGTACTGTGTTTACTTTTGAGTCTAGGTATTTTGTAAATTTTATTGATGATTTTTCACGTTGCACATGGGTATTTTTAATGAAGAACAGGTCTAAATTGTTTCCCATTTTTGAACAATTTTATCGAGAAATAAGAACCCAATTTGGTTTGTCTATTCGTACATTAAGAAGTGACAATGCACGTGAATATCCCAACAATTTCAAACATTTATTTCATCCAATGGTATTTTGCACCAAACATCTTGCCCTCATACACCCCAACAAAACGAGGTAGCCGAACGCAAAAATCGGCACCTCGTAGAAACCACTCAGACACTACTTCTCCATGGTACTGTTCCTCTCCGATTTTAGGGAGATGTGGTGCTTGCCGCATGTTACCTCATAAATCGCATACCCTCATTTGTCCTTAATAATAAAATCCCTCATTCAATCCTATTTCCAAACTATCCGCTCCACCCAATTCCTCCTCGAGTCTTCGGGTCTACGTGTTTTGTACACAATCTCTCCCCTGGTCTTGATAAATTATCAGCTCGATCACTAAAGTGTTTCTTTCTCGGCTATTATCGATCCCAAAAGGGTTATCGTTGCTACTCACATACTCTACAATGATACCTCGTATCCACCGATGTTACATTCTTCGAGTATGTT